ACAGTGAATCAGGCAGAGAGAGGGAAAGAAAGAAACAGGATGGAAAAGAAAATATTTGACTATTAAAAAAAGCCCCTACACCAAACTCTCCATCATACAGAGTTCCACAGCAGGAACTTTTTTTTGCAAAGTCCAATCTTTGGAGTAGTTTCAATGCCAAGGTAGACCTGGTTAGAAAAAGAGTGTGTAACTGAACCTCCTGTATGCTTTTAATGCTGATAGTAATGATCTATTTTAAATAGTCCTACAAGTACTAACCAGATCCTTCAGAGTTGTCCTCTCCATTTCTCTGTATATAAACAGAAAGAATTCCATAAGGCAAATAAACACCTCTTGCCATCTGCTGAGAAGCAAGCACTAAGAGTCTTTACGAGTTCATTTTAATGAAAAACTTTTCAGAGATGCCTGGTATGTAACATGATCCATCAATGTTCCAGTTTCACAGCCCTTATTAAGACAGTCACATACAAAATGTGGCAGATTCTTTGCTTTCCAAGAACGATACGTGAATTAGGGAACACTTTAAAAATTAATATTAATTTCTATAACCCTTAAAAAAAACCCCTTGGCAGTTGGTTTGGACCAATGTATGTGCATATTAGGATAAAACTTCACATATTTCAAAAACTTACAGATTGCAAAAGCTATTTTAGGGGTTTTTTTCAACATAAATATGGTACATGCTAAGATATTTTAAAAACACATAGATTAAAATGTATGGGTTATTCCATTTTGTTCGCTCTTATTACTACCAAGGAAATACATATTTAGGTGGAAAAGGCAACCTGTGGAAAATACCACTGGCTGTTTGCAATGGAAGACAAACTCGAATCTCAAATTCCTTGCCATTGACTCAAAGAGGAACGGATAATCTCTGAAAACAAATAAAGGTTAACAATAATTGCATTGATAATTCAATTTCTTTGCTGAATATAAGGTACACCATGGGCCTTTATCCTGCAAACAGGAATAAAACAAAGAACACTTAGAGATGACAGCCCTTTCACAGGTACAGCTGCACCACACACACTCATTACAATAATCACGTCGTTAACCGTGTTACTGGTACCCAATTTCTGAGTAGTTTGGGCATGAGGCATCCAAAAGTGGACAGACAAGCGCCTCTTACACATATAAACAGCCAAGAACATTTCAGAAAGAAAGCGATGGATAAACATTTAGGCAGTGTTATACCTGCTTTGATAAATCACATTATTTCCTGAAACAAAAATGGTCATTGCACGTGTGCCAAACTAGTCAGCTCCTAACTTTATTTGGGTTCTTTGCTGGTGTTTTGGGTTGTGGATTTGGGGTATATTTTTATATATAATTTGTTTAAAATAAAGCCCCAGGTCAGTCTTGGTATAATTTTTTTAGCTAGTGAAGTTATGAACCCCTGAAAAAAGGTGTTTTTAATGGAAAGGCTGACAACCCCTTAAGTGTAGTGCTGTGAATGATGGCACCTTGATCAGAGTTGGAGAAAACATTCAATGTGATATAAGCCACTGAACTAAGTTGTAAAATGACAAGGACTGAGTGAACAGTTTTTAATACAGATAATATTGTTCATGTAGTCTATAAATATAGAATTAAATGTTGACCTCTATCTCCCATGTCAAAAGTCAAAGTCAGTGTCAGCACATATTGTTTTTATTTGTTTCAAGAGAAAAATAGATCAACAACATTAACCTCACAATGAACAGAGAATTGAATGAATTAAAAAGCAGTACCCCATAAATCCCTTTCCTTTTATTGGCACAGTGATAAAAATGCCTAGGGCTTAGAGGAAAAGGGTAGTCTCAGACACTAGTCTGAGATGCTCTATGTACACAGAGCTGTACATCACATGCTAAAGCAGAGGAACAGAGATATTAAGATTTGTGCAGTCTCATATAATACACCATATCCATCAAATTGCATCATAGCATCGTGCAAAACAGGGCATGTCAGATATCCATAAGATGAGTAGGTTATCACAAAACTATTTTAAAGCAACTTTAGCTTTCCACCTACATTTGAAAAACACATTTCACAAAAGAGATTAAATACACCAAAAAAAAGACTTTATTCAATACCATCCGTACTTGCAGGATATCAATAATTTAAGACATCACCTGGAACAAGCTCCATTGTGCTTAGAGAGTTACCAGCTTCACTGGTTGGGTATCTCTTTAAATTGTTGGCTCACTGTGATAGGACTGAGGGATATGACATTTTTCTCCTGTTTAAAAAGTCATTTTTTTCAAAACACCTCATAATAATAAAGGCCCCTATTTCACAATGCCGTAGTAAATTTGACAGTTAACTAAAATGAGCAGTTTCAATTGCAAATTCAATTTAATTGCAATTTTTAGTGCTGCATAATTAAACTGAAAATGTTCTAAAAAGATTCACAGAGTCAAAACCAGGACAGAAACAAAAGCACATTCACAACATTGGTTTAGGGTTTTCTAATCAATTTCTAGGGAAACTCACAAACAGTAACATTTAAAACCACATCAGTTTAACAAAAGAAAAGGAATGGTATCATCTGAAAAATTCAGCTGTTAGTTTTTGTTTACATTTTCTTATCCTCCTGCAGCTTGTAGGATATACACAAATTCTTTTGGTTTACTGCTTCAGTGATTATCTGCTGGCAATGTTGCATCATGTGAAAAACATTTTACAGCATTTGCACTGTGTACTAAACACACAAAAGCAACTAATTACAACGTTTGTCAAATCTGGAGCGTGTTCTGTGGTAGCTTACTGGAACCAAATAGCATTTTTCTTCTTGAAATGGGCTGGCTGACTTTGAGTTTCACCAGTAAAGTGTAGGCTTGGAGTGAAATCTTGACTCACACAAACTGCTGAAGGCTGGTATGCTGAAACTAATCTATATCTTGGTGAGAAAAGCCTTCTCAGGCTTGAACGTTCATAAGGGTTGAAAGAATTTTACAGCTGGCTATAAAGAGCAACTTTTCTGCTCCACATGTATTCATGCAGCTTCTGGGCAGAACCAGTCATGGTGCTTTTCATAGCTGGATGATCAGAAGACTTCTCTATAACTTCTAGTAAAGAGGGAAAGACATGTATTTTATTACACTAAAGCATTATTGGTGTGTAGGGCAATATTGAATGGCTGTATAAAGCAAGTCACTGAAGGTCTTGCTAAGCCTGTAAACTCAGCTTCACACAGAGAAATAATGTTCAAACAGGGAAAGTACTTTGTAAGACTCATGGTTGATAAAATTAAATTCAACCTTGGTTTTAAATGATCTGCTTGTGATTTGAAGAACACTGCCTACTGCAGGAAAGAGGATGGTGAGTCTGTTTCAAGGGCCTAAAAAAAAGAAATGAAATACTTTTTCCCTCTTTTTATGATTATTTGATTCCTTATTCCATTAAGCCAACTTACATATTGGGAATGTTATAATATTGTAAGTTTGAAGTTCAGCTGCTACAATAGTCTGGTAACAGAAGCATCAGCTCTCTAGCTGAATAATATGTCAGTTTATGGTTGGTGGTGGTTCTCCACTGAACAACAAAATTAAGGTTTTGCTTTATGATTTGTGCCAAGGGGCCTAGGCAGGGGCCTGGCAACATGGGTAGCTGCCAGTCTGCACCAGAGACTATCAGGATGGACAACAGAAATGAATCTTTGCAGAAGGAGAATGGAAAAGAGTTGCAGAACTACAGGAGCTGGATCATCAGGAGCATCCCAGGAGACTGTCCAGACTGCAGCTCTCAGGCAGGAGCTCAGCAGACAGATCAATGTGTGAATGATGCTGCATCCTCCTCCTTGGTCTCATCCCATCAGAGCCATCCTTTAACTTGTTTAACTTGTTGCTCTCAAATGTCAAATAGCAATAACTTCACCGATTAAAAATAACAATTTTTCAATACATCTATAAAAGCAGGGATCATATTTGTTAAACTGGTAACCATACTGCTTAACATAATTCCAACACTAACAAGACACAAAACACAGACAACTTAAAACATTAAGAAAGATTCAAGCATATGAACAGGAAATACAAAAATGATTGACAGTGACTGTTGATATTAATTGATAAAAACAAAGTTTATTTGTAAATAACAGTATCCCAATCTCATAATAATTTACAATTTAAGAAATTCAGCACTCAAGCCTGCAATATGAATTTCCTGTTTGCCATTTTCTCCCACAATTTTGAAAGCTTTCTTATGCTTGTTGTACAGCTGGGAAGGTTCTTTCTCCAAATATCACCCAAGAAGTTTGGCATCGCTTGTGGCACAATAAATTGCACAGACACATTAGCTGGGATAAATGAATCAGCTCAAGTCCTGGTATAGATGCTGTTATAGATTACAAATGGCTTATCAATATGTACAGAGTGTCTATGGTTTTTGACATTTCTTATTTAGTTTTGAAATACATAGATAACTATTCAAAGACACAGCATTAAACTCACATAGCCTTTTTGTCTAAAAAGTCTTCAGTGTCAAATGACAATACTCTAGATTTATCAAAAAAATAAAGATGATCCACTTAAGCTCAGTGAACTAATAAAAAAACACAGTTATTGTGTCTACTATTATTTATTACTATAATTATTTCAATAATAATGAAGTGCAGATAAGTATTTGGCTAGTTGAAATTTTAACATGAGCTCCAAAAATTTCACACGCATATAAAGCATACTGATTCCAAATATGGAGAAGCAAATTAGCAGATAAGCATTGTAATAATCATTAGTTAAAATTCTCCCATACGAGCTAGTGTCAGCTTCCACTTTCAGAGCCAAGGAAAATATTCATAAGCTTTTACTTCTTGTAATAGAGAATTCACTGTTAACTAGGATTCAGATCCCATGTGTTCAGTCTCCCTACAGACATGAGTCCTCCTTTAGGGTTTCTATCAAAAAGCTCTCACTGGTAACAAAAAATAATGAAAATATACCGTGACAAAATGCATTCCATCAGTAGGATCTAAGGGTATTAAAACCTGCAACAGCAGCTGCAGGAAAAAAAAATCAAATGTGCAGCCTACCTTCATTCCTTGAAGCCGGAGTCATCTGAGAGAATATTATTTTCTATTAAAATATAAAACATGCAATTATTGATTCTTCCTGCATACTTTTAACATCTTATATGCCATACATTTGGACACATATTTTTAAACTTTCCATTAAAATAATAGCTAGGTGATAACAAGGTAAGATAGACCAATTTAAAATCTTGTAAGGCCATTAAGAACTTACTACTAGAAAAACAGAAATTAAGTACTACATTTTCACATCTGGGCTTGCAGAAATAGCTTTTGCAACTCTCATGCTTGTCTCTGTAAATGTGCTCTTATTGTCAGCCTTTTGATCTATTTGAAGAGAAATAAGAACAACCACAGAGCTACATATGTCACTCAAACCCAAAAACATGCTCTGTGATATCAAGGAAAACTAAATAAGAGCCTCGACCTGCTAATAAAGGGACGGGAGGGACTCATTAAATCCGACAGCAAAAACCAGGTAGGAACCAGTGCAATCCAGGATTCATGCCTCCCATTTACACTGCAATACACGTGTGGGATCTGGTTTACTACAGATCGCCTGGGAGGAAAGAAAGGGAATCTAGAGCAATAAAAGAGTGCCAAAATGAATAAAGTGCTCACAGGTACTGTTGCTTCGCTGACGTTGGAGAGCAGAGCGAGTGGGGTTTGTCACAGTTCCAATGTCCCCCAAATGTTGCTGCTACAGGAGTTCTGCCCTTTCAGTGCAATCTGAAAAAAATAATTTATATACAATACCTAGCACATCGACAAGCCAAAGATTTTTATTATTACTTTCTTATTTTTACCCATTTATGGTTGCAAATTAATGGAATTACATGAGACTGAAGCCAATGACAACTGCTAATCTGTAAGCAACAACAAGCAAGGAAAAGCTGATAGGAGTACAGCTGTTTTATTTTAATTGAGGAATGATTTTATGTTGGAAGCACTCAATATTCACAGCAAATTAAAAATAATGAAGTGAATTGATACCAATGATATTTTTTTTTACCTACTATCCCTTTGTAAATCTATTTCTTCACACAAATTGACATGTCTAATTGATACATACGCTATTATTCCTCATTAGTAGGCTGAATAAAATAATTCTTGATTAAATTTATTGCAATTTACAATCCAGCATAATGCTTGCAAGCTATAAAAGTCAATCAACAGGAAACAGAAAAAAACCAGATGACATTATTACTTCTTATATATACACAATAATCTCATGTGCTTCATGGAACCTTCCTAAGCATTTCATTGCTTCTCAGGAGTTAAGGCCTGTCTCCAACAGGTCACTTCATTTTTCATATGACCATAAATATATTCCAGTGCATTCTGAGTTTTTTTGATAAATATCACCTCTAATAAGCAAATTATTTGTGTATTTAGCAATCTGTTAGAAGTTGTCTGGAAGAATTAGTCTTCTACTAACACTCAAACAAAATTATGCAGAAAAGCTGATGATTTACTTTGTCTGGATCAGGGCATTTGATTTATATTGTGTTATCACTGCGCCAAAAAGTTCAACCAAGTAGCAAAAATTCAGAATTCCAATGAAACAAAGAAAGTCCATAGCAAATCTGACAAGAAAAATATATATTCTATGATGCAAAATTTCCAACCGAAAGGCAAATTGAATCAATGGCAGGTCAGTCTGTTCTGTATAATTCTAACTTATTCCACACCTTGCCCTGGACTCTACAATTTTGTAGGAAATTCTTTGGTATTATGAAACTAGCAGAGCACCTATTATGTTACTCTCTTCTCTAATGGCAAGAAAAGTATGTTATGACCAGAACATTTCTATGGCCTATCGCTCCTATTTCTCTGGAGAATGCAACAGCTGGCACAGGATTGCTGCCCTTGCTGACACTGGGCTTCAGAACTGAGCAATAATTTACCCAGAAATGCAGTAAATATATGCTATATCTTGTACAGACACAGAATAGTCATCCTAATTTTGTCATCTTAATAAAATTTCTTTTTGAAGAAGAGCTTCTGATGCCCTGGCTGTGTCTCTGCCCTGATTGTAGTCTGTATCTCAACTTGTCCAGATAAGCTGAAAGGAATTGCTGAAAAAATCATATATTATTGCATAGGACCAACCACAGGTTTGGAATTAAAACCTAACCTGTAAAGGGAATGTTTTCCATTCATATTACATACCATGTTCTTTGTAAGACCTTAAATAAAACATTATTTTCAAAAAAATTAATCTGGATTTTATTTTACAGATATTTTAGATTAACAGTTGCATTTTTATTCAACATAATTCCACTAAATAATGTTTCTTTTGTTGCTACTTGTGAATTTTGATAAAATCTTTGTAAAAGGCAATAGATCTCGATTCAGAAAGACCGCTGACATTTCAGAACCAGTCCTTACATTTCAAAAAATATGAGGAAGACATACTATCAGCAACAAAACCAGCTGTTTCAGGATTCATCTACTATTTGATACGTGTTACTCAGCACAGTAAACAACCTATCTGCCAGCAGTAAAAAATCAAAGAGCTCTGTGCTGACTGAAGAGCATCTTTTAAAGAACTTAGGATGTGGCCCAAAAAGCAGCCCTTAGAAGCAGGCACAGGTTTTCTGGTGTTCCCAGGGAAACGTGCCATTTCAGAGAAAGTGCTGTCACCCAGAGCTGCACAGAGCCCACATCTGAGATTACCTTTAAGGGTGACTAAAAGTATTTCCAACAACTGAACCATCCATAACAGAGCAAAAATAATCAGGAGCTATGGCAACCAGTGAGCCCTATTTAAACTGAATTCTAATGTATATCCTCCATATCACTTTTACCCTCTGCTGTCAAAGGTGACTAATTCGTTAAATCTTTCCAGCCTACTTCTCTGGACAATATATGAAAAATAAGATGGATATCCAGTTCATTCCTTCTGATCCAGGGTGCTCTCCAGGTCTGCACACACCCAGAGAGGGTAAAGGCACCATCAGCTGTGCCAGGCCATGGAAAATGAGCTGGCACAGGACTGTGGGCAGCCACCATGCAAGGGAACAGCAGGGATTTGTGTGGCTGGAAACATCACAGCTGGGTGTGATGTCCCAGGGTGGGCCAGCTCAGCAGCAGAGCCACAAAGCAGACCTTCATATTTCAACAGGCATTATCTTGTCATCCCTTTTAATCTAGGAATACCATATGGAGAAAAACATGATGGCAAAGATTATGATCAGTCTTAAATACACCTTTTTCATTCAGCTCTAACAAACTCAATAGGAAAACTATTTCATAGAAGAGCACAACAAATTGAAATTCAATAGTTTAGTTAATCCAAGCATATTGAAATAAAATTATACATACATATATATCTATATATACACACATGAGTGTGTGTGCACAGTGAGGGAGAAGCTTCTGCCTTCTTATACATATGATTTCTATTATAGAGTTTGGGTAAGGAATGTAATATCACAGCTCTTTAAAGTTCAAGGATATTAAGGAATGCTTTTAGCTGCAAACATAAAAACAAACCAATACATCAATAACAGATTTGTAATTTTTAAATCTTAATAACATTTGAAATTAATAAAAAAAAAAAATCACTCACTTTATTATATTCACCACCACAGAAGACAAAGGTATTATCCAGCTGAGTCTATACCAAAAGGAAACGCACACATTAATATCCGCCATTTGATACATATTCCAAACACAAGAAGTAACAAATTTGGTGACAAAACTGTCAAAATATGTTCCACAAATACATTGGCAAGAGATCTGGACATACTAAAGAAATTCAGTGAAACAAAATAGGTGCCAAATGGGGATGTTTGACAGAGTGTTCAAAAATACATTTAGACCAAAGCAGGAACACATCCAACAGAGAGATTCTCTACATAAATTATCATGAAACTATTAGAAATAATTGGCCAGTGATTTCAAAATATTACATATACTTTTAATGTTATCAAAGAGCTGTGTTGTGAACCATGTGTGATTTCTTGGCAATTGAATTTTTGGCCACGCAACAGCGTTTTTAGACGCAAGTGAAAATACTATATCCCATACTGTAAGTCAATCTGTAGTCTTTGAAACTGAGTCGAGCTTCCAAATGCTTTGAAAGGCTGTTAGGGGAAATACTGTGGAAGTCTGGATACTCTGGGAGGCTGCAGAGCACAGCCCTTGCAGGGGCTCTGCTGAACAGACGCCTTCCCAAGGCTGAAGAGAGCCTGGATGACGAAGATGTCATGGCCAACCATTCCAACAGGCTGTGGGTCAGTGTCCCAAACCACCACATCAGTGTAGGCCCTATGTCTCTACAAGTCTAATAAGAGCAGATTAATTTATACACAATGCTGTAATACAGGCATTTCTTAATAAAATAAAGTCATCTCAGCATTTTCAGATACTTCTTTAAATGCAGATAACCACTGTGGAGACACCTGCAGATGGTGAATGAATGGGATCAGAGGTTCTGCCCTGAAGAGCTACCTGTTCACACCCTTCACACACATGAAATTCAAATTAATACTGTTTAACAGTTCTCAAGAAATATACACTTTATAACAGATAAAATCTGATCAAGTCAAAGTAGACCACTCAGAAAGAAGACAACAAGGTGCCAGAGCAGCCTCCTTCAGCCCTGACTTGCAGATCAGCTAAATGCTTTCATCTTGAGCATGCCCTGACATTTACAGTGTCTGCTCAGATCAAGCTGGAAGCTTAAGGCTCAAAGTATCTGGGGTTAAAATCTGGCCCCCCTGAAGTGTATGGAAATATATTCACCTACTTCACCAGGACCCATTATAATCTACAAAGGTTTTAACAGCACATTGATCTGGGCCTCCCATTAGGGCATTGAGCCAAGTGAATTATATTTGTCATATGTTCATTCTCAAAAACGTTGGGTTGATTTTTTTAAAAACATTTTTATATGCACATTGTGGAATTCCCTCATTATTATTCTATCTCAAAGAAACACGTCTCAAACATGAGGCAGCACAAGGTAAGATTTGTGATTGTCCTTAACTTCTGGCAAGTTCATTCCTTACACTTGAAATGAGACTCTGAGAAAGCCCTCTCCTGCACAGACAAGCTTTTTCCTAGTCCAGAAAGATCAATTTTCCTGAACAGCCACAAAATAAAAGGCAAAGAGATATAACTTAAATAGCCCATAACTCCATTTATTCCACTGCAATGAGAACTTTCCTGAAAAGTATCATCCAGTGCTTGCTATCACTTCTCCTTATTCATTTTGACATCCTCAAGGGCTGCTTCCAGCTCCTGACATCCCCCCCCAGAGCTGTCCCAGGCTGTTGGTGGGCTCCTGCATTCCCCCATGGCTCCAGCTCATCTGGGAGCAGGGCAAGGAAAAGCTCTGACTTCTGCTGCAGTAGAAAGTGGCATGAATTTGGTGGCTACCTTTAGTCCTGGGCAAAACATTCCAGTTTTGGACATCAACCTAAAAATATATGCCAGCATAGATAAGGTTTTTTACTTCTTATTGTAAGCTCTATTCTGCCAAAGGATCATGGTTTTTAGCTATGAACTATACCTTTTGGAACTGGTTTTAGAGCTTTCAGATAGGTATTTTTTGTTGGACAAATACATTTCCTAAAAAAAAAAAAATTACTATCAGCAAAGCAGACTGAGTTATCTAAATGAGCATTTTTTTTAATTCTGCGTGAGCTCTTTAAATTTAACATCCCTTTAAGCAGTATTAACTTTTAAGTTGCCATAAAATCAAATAATTGTATTTATTAATTTGTTTTAATTACCAAGCACAGATAAGCATATGTCCTACTTAGCCTGGGAAAATCTGAACGCACACCTGCTCCAACAAGCAGTCTGTAAAATGAGACGTGAGGAAAATATTTGAATTACATTTCCCTGTTCCAACATACCATTTTTAAAAAGCACTTTCAACACTGAACTAGGCCTTTACAGTTAAGGCATTTTACAAGATGATACTGAGCTATGTTTCCTGTCTATGAAGAAGGCACCAGCATATAAAATGGTAGTGAATTTGCATTACCTCCAATCCATCATTCTTTGAGTGCGCAGGAAAAACTGTGAGACCTGCTGCAACAAAGCACAGCCTTGTGTTGACAGATTCTTATTTAAGTGACTGTGAATACAACAATTCCACAAATAATTTGTCAAGTGTGTGGCTGAACTAGCTCTGAACCCTGATAAATACCAACTCTCCTCACTGCTACAAAGGCATGATGTTCTGTGTGCGGGCAGTGAGTAACAAGCACCAGGATTTAACAATCGATGCTACTATATTTCTCTTTTCTTTGCGGTTAAAAAAGCCTTGAAGGGTGGCTCTTTCAGCAGTGTTAAGTACTAGTGGTGGCTATGCCTTGCAAATCTAAGTAATACACTGCAGGCTGAGGTGAAAGGAAATAGCACACTGCATCCATTTTTAGCTGCATTTAAAACATATGGGTTATGTTCTCTGGTGAAAAACACTCTTTACTGTATAGTTAGCAGACTCTTGTTTAATACAGGCTATTATTAAATGGACCTCTTTCAAGTTATGATAATAGGACATCTACTTTGCTGCTTTTTGCATCCTAAGGCATACATTTGGGCTGGGGTAATTCAAGAGAAGAGTCTCTTTTAGGAAAAATAACTCAAACTCTAGGGGAACACATGTACATATTAATAGGGGGAGAAAAAACACTCCTTCCAGGTATTCAGTTGAAATCAAGATTGCATTTTTCTATCATACAGTGCATTCTAAAGGCATTATGGATGTGCAAGAAAAAAAATCATTTTTAAAGAAATGTAAATCTAATCAGTCTTGAAGCTAGCAATATATACATAAATGTCTCTTGCAGACATAATTTAGTATGCATTATTAATTTATTTTTCATAAAGCTTTCCAGCTACAAAAAGGATAAGTGGAAATGTGCACCCACATTGACGATAATGCTCATTTGTCAGGCAGGAGGGAACATATTAACAAATTTCCCCCTCCTGAAATCCCAACCTAAAGGATGTTCAGAAGCTTTTTTGCAGAAAGACCAGACATGCCTATTCCAAACAACATTATTCCAGGCATTAGAATAAAAGACCAACCTTTAAATGGGACCTGAACTTCAGCATGCTATTTGCAAGGTAAAACTGTTACAAACTCTGGACAGCAGAACATTATATCATATAAGTCAATTATATTTATACTTTTGACTATAAAATACCAGCACCTATAGAAATAATTAGGTGTGTGACTATTAACTAGTCCCAATGTAAAATGTTAATTATTTATTGTTTATAAAGCAATTTCAAATAAAGCAGAACTCATACAATAGTGCCATCATGATTTTCCAGTCATTAACTTAACCAGAATTTGCATTTTGGGACTATAGCCAGTGACTTACATGCACTACTTAAGTCATTTTTCAAACACCCTGTCCCATCTTAATCTATTCATCATTAATCACATTTGGTCACTTTACATACAGAACACTATTCAGATGAAAGATAAAAGAAATACATTAATAAAATTAAAGCTAGAGTGAATACTTCAAAATATAAAGATGGTGGACTAATATGGTTATCAAAGCAATTATACATAATGCCTATTAAAACAGACTTGTCTGAGCAAAAGTTCTGAGAGTTTTTGAGGGGTTTTATTCCAGAGCACTTAGAAAGCCACCTTTGTACTTTATGCCTTGCAAACATCTCAGGTTACAAAGCAAAAATACTCAAATTCCATACTTTTCATGAAATAGGAGAAGAAAATATTGGTAGTTGTTTACTTGTCAAAACAGCTACAATTTTAGATCTGTGAGTAACCTTAAACTTGTGGAACTGGCTTGTAATTACAGGCTCTATTTATCTGAAAAGATCCAGTGCTCTGACTTGTGAATCTGACTGACCTATTCTACCTTAAATCAATCAAACCACGGAAGCCTTACATCCTCCTCTTGTGGGTTTGCTCAACCAGGGGCTGAAAAGAAAGTTTCTTATGAGAGGAGTTTTGTTACCTCTTCCTCTGCATCAGCAAGTGAATGGGCTCAGTGACACCCAGAGCCCCCACGCCCTGGGGTCTTTGCCTGCACAGCACAGGTTTCTCAGAGGCAACAGCAGCTCTCCAGCAGTTTTCCTTCTGCCTGCCCTACCTCATGCTCAAGAGATTCATTTTCTGTTCCTACTCAGTCTTTGATTTTCCCTTCTCAGATTGCTGAACTGCCCATTGGCAGTTAAGGGACACGTGTGGGTTATTTTACCCATTTTTTTTTAAATTTAGGGATACCATTAAACAGTTTTCTAATTAAAAAAAAAACACACAAAACTAAAACCAAACAAAACCTACAAAGCTCCATCAAGTACTACTCCAGTCCATGTGCCTGTTTCACAGTCCATGTTACTTAGTGTCTTTGGGAAATGTCATGGTGTCAGTCTAGTTCCTGTAGGATAAGTACCCATTTCACAAATGGATTTGTGGGGATCAAACTCACTGGATTTTAATCATCTTACATTTGTGGGGGGAATTTCAGCCATAAAGGTGTTTTATGCACATGATCTAGAAAGGTCTTCTCCTCAGAGCCAAACTGCAGCCGTGGAATCCATCTGGTAACCTGAAGCAGGTATCTCCAGTCCAGTATGTGGTGACTTGGAAAACAGAGATACAACCTGCATGGAACA